CTCTTCTACATTGAACTAGAGATGTCAGCCAATGTAATAAGACAAAAGAAAGCAAACAGGGTCATAAGAACTGACGAAACAATTGTCCAGAGGGCTGGCAAGATGACTTGGCCTAAGTTCACAGCCCTCGAAGGACTCACCATAAACACTAGTCATTATGGCTCTGAGTACTGACATGATACAACTTCCTTTAATTCCTTATGAATATCTGCCATGTGCCTCTTTCACCTTCCCATAGTCAGAGTCCACAGGAGAATGAAGAGTCGGCTGTGACAGAAGTAGAAGATGCACACTAAGCTGCTGCTCTTTGTGGGTCACGTGACCTTCAGCCAACCGGGGCTCCCTGTCCGATTCTGTGTGTCTGATTACTGGTGGACACCTGCTTGCTTCTCCACGTGGCCATGCATAGAGCATAGAAAGAGCAGCAGCTTCGTGACAGAGCAGAATAATCCCAGCACGCTTCCTCGCTGGGAATTCCCTTCTTCCATACGCCTCCCTGCCTCTGCACAGTACTCCTTTTGGATCCGAATTTACTCATTGTCTTTAAAAGACACCAGAAAAAAACTCCCACAGAGCCAAGAGCTCCAGCCACTTGGCAAAAGAGGAGCAATGATTCATCTGGGATTTTGGCTCTCAGAATTTTTTTTTTTTTTTTGGTCAGGGTTCAATACCAGAAAGCCTGCCAAGCTGCTGGAATAAGAAGAGCATTTTTCTGGGAAGTGACAAGCCCTAAGGCAAGAGAAAATATACTCAGAAAGTGACCAGGTCAGAGATCACAAGGTTCCTGGTCTCCTCAGAGAAAGCATTCAATGAGGGACACACAGGAGACCTCAGCAGGCCCAGGTGTATTAATGCAAAGCGAAGGGAAAACACACTCTCAGTGGTTCACACCTGCAATCCTACCTGCTCAGGAGGCTGGAATCTAAGGCTCTCAGGTGGAAGCTATCCTGAGCAGGAAGTCTGTGAGACTCATCTCCAATTAACAACCAGAAAACCAGAAGTGGAGCTGTGGCTCAAAGTGGTAGAGTGCTCGCCTTGAGCAAAACAAAAGCCCAGTGCCCAGGCCCTTAGCTGAACCCCCCCCCCTCTCTCTCACACACACACACACCCTTAAGTGGGGCCAGTGGGCAGGCTCAAGAATGATTGCTGAGGGTCCCAAGACCTCAGGTTTTTACTGGGGTTTGTGGACATGGAGGTGGGCATTGCTGGAAACTAGATTATGGGTCATTAACTTCTGAAGACAGTTCTTCTTCCCATTCCAGGGGGCCAAGGTGGCTTTTCTTTCAGAGTTCCTGGGAGTGGGCTGCATGCTGCCCCAAGCCCGGGTCTCTAGCCCAGGACCTTTCTCATCAACTCAGGGATGAGGAATCTCATCCCCTTGGATGGATGGCTTTAGGCTGAGTCAGGACTAGCCCCTCTGGTCTCCAGCTTCTCCAGCATTAGGCCTGGGAGCTGTTCAGCAGCCGCCAAGAGGAAGATAGGCTTTGCATTTACTTGCTCGGCTGTTTTGAGTATGTCTCCTTCTGGCTCAGCGTTCTATCTCTCCAGCACCCGGCCCACTGCCCAGAATTCCTTGGCTCCATAAATACCTGTTGAATGAATGAGTGAGGGGTATGGAAGAAATGGAGTGTGTGTTTGGGCCCTGGGGCCTGGCTGCCTTGCAGAGGCTCCGGGAAGGCCTGCCTGTACACAAAGATGGTCTTGTTGGAGCTGGGCTTCCTGGATTCCTGACCATCGGTGACTGCCAGTTCTCCCAGATCCTGTGGGATTCTGGGAAGAGCAGCCTCCTGGCCAGAGATTCCAGAGAGGAGCCCCCCTGCCCACCCGCTCCCTCCCAGGCCTCCTATGGGCCCTGACTCAGAGGAAACTGAGAGACTGGGTCCCAAACCAGTGGGCCAGAGCCTAGATGAGCTTGGGGGAAAATGAGGAAAAGAAGTCAACCTCAACAGAATACTTGTATGAGTAATGAATCAAGTCATTTTCCAAAGGGATTGAATGATTTCATAAGAGTTATCAAAAGAGGAAGAGAAGGAGGAGCTATTTAAAGAGGAAGAACTTTTTCTTTCTCTTCTTATCCAAGACTGGACCACGAATTCAGTATTTGACTCTTTTGATCACTGGCTGGTGCCCTACCAGCTGAGCCATGCCTCCAGCCCCCAAGGAGGAACTTGAAATACATACATACATTCAGAGATGGCAAAGAATTAGTTTCCAGGAACATCTGAGAGGGAGAGACATACAGTGGCCACTAAGAGGGATTGACTGATTTGCTTGTTTGTTTAGCTTTTTTTTTTGTTTTGGAGATAGGATCTTACTATATAATCCAAGCTGGGCCTTACATTTAAAAGCTGCACACTAAAAAGCTCATGCCCGTCATCCTAGCTACTCAGGAGGCTGAGATCTGAGGATCACTGTTCAAAACCATCCTGGGCAAGAAAGTCCATGAGACTTTTATCTCCAACTAACCACCAAAAAGCCAGAAGTAGAGCTGTGGCTCAAGAGGTAGAGTACTAGCCTTGAACACAAAAGCTCAGAGACAGCAAGTGCCCTGGCCTTAAGTTCAAGCCCCAGGACCAGCACAAGGAAAAAATCAAGCTTCTTGTATCTACCTCCTGAGTGCTGGGATTACAGGCATGCTCTAGAGGGGTTGTTTTTTGTCGGTCATGGGGTTTGAACTCTGGGCCTGGGCATTGTCCCTAGCTCAACACTAGCACTCAACCACTTGAGCCACAGCGCCACTTCCGGTTTTCTGGTGGATTATTGGAGAGTCTCACAGACTTTCCTCCCAGGCTGGCTTTGAACCGTGATCCTCAGATCTCAGCCTCCTGAGTTTACAGGTTTACAGGCATGAACCACCGGCACCCAGCATACACAGAGATGGTTTTGAAGACAAGGAATCTAGCTTGTGTGACACGATCATGGTAAATAGATGTTATTATACACTCATCCACACCCACAGCACACACCGGGGTAAATGTTAACACGTACCATGGGGTGTATCAAGGGGTCCATGTAGGTAGGTGTAGCAATGGTGACAAATGTCCCACTGTCCTGGGGAATGCCGCTAATAGAGTCTACACGTGTAGACAGCAGAAGACACCCTGGGAAATCTCTGTACCTTCCTCTCCATTTTCCTATAAACCTAAAACTGCCCTAAAAAGAAAATCTATTTTTACAAAGAAGGAGGCTGCATTGAATGGTAGCACTTTGTGATTCTCCATTTTTTTTTTCTGCTAAGGGAATGTATTATACTTTACAACAGGTGGTCAATGACAGATGGAGGTCAAAGACCTATTTCTGTATCCCAAACACCCTGTGACGCTTGGACCTGGGTGTGTGGCCCCGGCTGGGTGTGATGGGGCTGGAGCCGCTGCTCGGCTCTTCGTGCAGGTTGAGCTTCAGCCTGGTCCTTCTGGTAAGCATGCGCAGTTGGGCACCACCTCCTCCCTGCCAACCTCACACCTGAGGGGACATTGCAAGGAAAGCAGGCCCCAGGGCCACTCGGCCAGGCCCGTTCGCAGGGGACAGGACGCAAAGCCACGAGCTTGGGAACGTTCTGCTGTCTGGTTTTGGAGAACTTGGGACACACAGCTGCCTGGACGGACGGCATGAGGCAGAGGTGACCACAGTCTCCAGCAGCAGCCCCTGTGCTGGCCAATCTGAGACCAGGTGAAGTGAGGATCCAGCTTCTCCTCATGGGCACAGAAGCCGCAATGGCGCCCCCTTCAGGCAGCCACAGACTTTGGAAGAAGTTGGAAACTGCAAACTGACCACTAATGACCCATGAGCAGATGTGGATGTGTGAGGTAGGAGAAGGGCTTGGTTTCACCATTCTTTTCCTGTAGCTAACCTGCCTCACGACCTGAGCCCAACCAGGTTCCACACACCAGGGGAGGTCTTCTCGAAAATACAATGGAACCTGGCATCCATCGGTCGGAATCTTCTGTATCTCCCCATGAGCTCACAACGCAGCTCACTCACGCCCACCCACTTCTCTCCCCTGACTCAGATCTGTGGCTACTTCTTGTAGTCTTGGCCCTTCCTCTACCTGGGATGCTCTTTCCCAAGCCTCCAAGTCCAGCCCCTAGCTCAAATGTCATTTCTTCAAAGAAGCCCTGCCCTAACCACCCCCTTCCTTCTTGGCACTAATCCCAAGAGACTGTAATGGCTTAATTGATCCATGCATGGGGCATGGCCCTATTAGAAGCCAGCTCCACGGAGCCTCTCAGCCCAGAGCTGGCTGCATGTGTGAAGACACATTGCTATTCTTGGGGTTCAGCGGCTCTGGTGATGAACTGGTTCAGCCACCTGCCCTGAAAACCAGACCACAGCCTTTATGCGGACTCCAAACTCTCCCCCGAAAGGTCCATTCTGGCCATGGAGCCCACACACAAATACTGCCTGCACACAAATACTGCCAAAATAAACATTTTATTCCCCCCTCTCCCCGCTCCTGCCTTAGGTGTTCTAGTTTGCAAGCACACATAAATGCAATCGACAAGAGTCCTCTCCATAAATACCTTTCATTTCAAGTTGCCGCCTATCTTTGTTCCTAAAGAGAGTGGATTGGAGCAGAACCCGAGAGATTGCGTAGCCAGTGACAGCTAATCGGCCTCTGCCTCCTGCCAGTCCCTCTCTGAGCAAAGGCAGCCGGAGACTATAAATAGCAGCCTCCTTCCAGTGAGGACCAGGCGTGGAGATCCACAAGGGGTCGGGCAGTGTCTCCTCAATGCAGTTTCTGCATACCCCAGAGCAGGTGTGCCTCAGGAAGGTTCCCAGACCCAGCAAAGCAAGAGGAGCTCCTGCCTCTAACCCCGCCCCCAACTCGGTGCACCCCAATCCCAAAGGGGTTGGAAGAACCACCCTTCAGGGACAGAGTCCAAGAGTAGGAATGGCTGCTTTCCTGCCATGTCCCCTTTTTGGAGGCATCCCCACAGGGGACCCCCCAACTCCACAGCAGAAAGAGGGGGACCCTTCAACCCTTCCCTCCCTTCCTCGGGTCACAGCACGGTCTCTCTGATGACACCGATGAGGCTGTGCGGCCGCTCAGCCTCCACCCGCCGGGGCCTCCTCTCGGCTCTCAGCCTCCCTGGTGGAGCGAAGGTGCTCAGGTCCCCACAGCTCTGCAGGTGCAGCAGGCCGGGCCGTCTCTGCCAAGGCAGCGTATAGGCCCAGGCAGCGCTGGGCTGCGAAGGCGCCATTATCTACGAGAGAGTAAAGGAGGGAAGAGGTGAAGCTTTTCCAGATGTGGCCTTTAGGACCTGTTTCCTGTATCTGTCCATGTGTTTAAAGGATGTTCGCCCAAAGGAAAACTTTTTTGGATTGTGAAGATTGTATTTTTTTTTAAGCATACTGCCTGTTCTCAAAGTCCCGGTGAAATTCTGCAAATTTTCTATGTAGACCTGCCATACCTAATTGGTGACTTGTCATTTCTTGTTTATATTTAACATTGTTCTTAATGGTTTCTCTCCCATGTCTCTGTCTTCTAATTAAGCCGGGAGTTCCCATTACTGGACAAGATGGGGACAGAACTTGTTAGAAAAAAGAATTCAGATCTACTACCAATTTTGACAGTCTGGAAGGGAGCTTGAACATCAACAGCATTTGTGGGGGGAAGGGGGGATTCTGGGGCTTGAACTCAGGGCCTGGGCATTGTTCCTGAGCTTCTTTTGCTCAAGGCTAGCACCACTTAAGCCACAGCTCCACCTCAGCTTTTGGGGTGAACTGGAGATAAGAGTCTCATGGATTTTCCTGCCCAGGCTGGTTTGGAACAGCTATCCTCAGATCTCAGCCTCCTGAGTAGCTAGGATTACATGCATGAGCCACCAGCACCCAGCTCATTAGGAGAGAGAGAGAGAGAGAGAATATCCAGGTAGTAATTATGCTCTTGAAAATTTGAGAACCATTGGTCTGGCCAGGTAGTGATTTTACAAAAATGTCAACAAAGATCATTAGTGCTTCCGATGGATTGAATAAACCTTCGATAAACAACGTAGAAAGTAGGACAATCTGTTTGTGAAAACTTTTTTGTGTGTGCAAGACCAGGACTCAAACTCTGTACCTGAAGCTTTCCCTCATTGGCTGGTGCGCTACCAACTGATCCATGCCTCCAACCCTCATTTGTAAAAAGCTTTTAGAATGGTTCTACTGCTTTGGCTGGGCCTGGTGACTTATGCCTATAGTTACAGCTATTTAGGAGGTTGAGATCAACACCATCACAAGCCAAGGCCAGCCTAGGCAAAAAAGTTCACAAGATCTCATTTCATCCATGCCAGCTTTGCCAGCAGCATAAATACGAGAATCATGGACCAGGCCATTCCAGGCAAAAAAACAATCAAGTGAGACCCTATTTGAAAATCAACAAGAGCAAAGGGCTGGGAGCATGAATCAAGCAGGCATGGAGCCTGAATTCAAACTCCAGTACCACTACCACAAAATAAATAAATAAACAGCAGAGAGCCAGTGGCTCATGCCTATAATCCTAGCTACTCAGGAGGCTGAGATCTGAGAACTACAGTTCAAAGCCAGTCCAGGCAGAGAAGTCCCCATGAGACTCTTAGCTCCAATTAACCACTCATAAGCCAGAAGTGGTTTTGTGGCTCAAGTGTTAGAATGCTAGCCTTGAGCAAGAGAAGCTCAGGGACAAGGCCCAGGCCCTGAATTCAAGCCTCACAACTGACAAAATAAAATAAAATAAACAGATAAATAAAATACTTCTGCTGCTGGATCTGTTTTGAAATATGTCATAAATTAGAAAAGGAAATAGATAATCTCACTACTTATTCTGTAAGATTGGGGAAAGGTTGAGAAATTCCTTCTCCACGGGGATTGATGGGAGAACTGTCCAATCAATGCAAGGTTAGACAATTGCACAGCTACCTAGTATTGGAGTTTTATTGCCACCAAGCATCACAGAATAGCATTCTGATGACTCTCAACATGTTGCGTTGGTACCTTCTGTGCTTGTAAGGTCATGAAGAGTTGAATCTCCCCAAAAGATGGGATATCAAATTTTGCTAACATTCCCTTCCTTCTATTTGTCTTTAGGACGTGGCCTTGTCTCCTGATGAAGAAGAAATTTTCAATGCTCCCAGAGTTGCAAGGTAAGTTGGCACACGTGGGTTTTTGTTTTGGTTTGCTGTTGGGGAAAATTGAAGTGGCTCTAAAACCTCATTCTGGTTTGCTGCGAAAGGTGGCTGGAGTCAGAAACAAAAGGTCCCTTGCCATAATCCTTGCTTCCTTGTGTCTGGGGCAGGGGTGTGGCATTGTGACAACCCATGTGTGACTAGAAGGCCCAACACAGTATAGCCAGTCCCAAGCATCTCAGCAATTAACTGTTAACCTGGGGGGGGGGGGGGGGAGGGGGGGGGGTGGGGAAGGGGTGTGAAGGGTAAACAAAGGAGGAGGCTGCCATGCTTGTGTGTGTGTGTGTGTGTGTGTGTGTGTGTGTGTGTATCTAGCAAACACTGATTGAGGAGCTAGCAAACACTGATGATGTTAACATCTATTGGGCTGTTGGGCTGTAGGGGTCGGGTCATTTCCAAAGACCCTGAGAAGTTATGGACTGTTTCTTTCCTTGCCAGAGCTTGCAGAACCTTGAGAAATGACTCCAAATGCTTGTTCCTTGTTTGCTCGGCTACTGGAGCTATACAGCAGGAAGGGAACAGGGAAATAGCAACTGAAGTAGCTCAGAGACACCAGGAAATAAATGTCTCCCCTACCCAGGCTACTTCCTGGAGTCTAATCCAGAACCACTGACTGATCATTCTTCTAGAGAGCCAACCAGAGATAGGTCTGTTGTTCAAGTGCCTCTTTCCACAAGGAGTCAGATCTCTCTTCTCCCCTGGATCCCCTGAAGAAGTGGGAGAAGGGTTGGCTTCTGGCTTCAGTAAGAGGCCAACAGGTAGAAAGTAGGACCAGAAAGGAAACATGAAGAGACGGTTTAATTGAGATACCTTTACAGTTACCTAGGATCCTGGAGCACAAATCTGAGAATCAGCCTGATGCACCTAAAGAAGTATTTACTGGGCACCTAGCATAATACAGGCAGGCAGCCAGGTAACAACCTCTGCCACACCACCAGGCTCTCTACCATGGCCAGCCCACTAACCGACAGTACTGGGGCTCGAACTCGGGGCCTTGAACTCTCACTTGGCTTTTTTTTCCCCCAGGGCTGCTGGCACTCCCTCACTTGAACTATGGGTTCACTTCCAGCTTTTTGCTGGTTAACTGTCTATAGGAGTCCCATGGATTTGTCTGCCCGGGCTGGCTTTGAACCTTGATCCTCAGATCTCAACTCCTGAGCAGGTAGGATTACAGGCGTGAGCCACTAGCACCCAGCAGGTAACCATCTTAAAGGGGTGCAGAGAAGGTTCTTAGCAGAAGGAAACTCACTCATTCAGAGATACAGGGGTAGAATGACCCTTCACTTTAAAGAAGAGAATTCCGAGATCCAAGCAGATGCTGTGCGGGCCCAATTTCACTTTCTATCTGGATGGCTTCAATCCAGGAGTCCTGCCTTCGACTTTTCTATCTATGGGAAGGAATCGGTGCTTATTCTGCTAAGTCTTACTGGCTTATCTCTCTTACTAGGCAATTCATGGAAATGTGAACAGCTCCCAGAGTCTTGCCAATATCATTTTTTCAAAGGGCAGAGAAAGCAAACAGGATCATCAAGGGGCATCTTCAATTCAGGAAATCAAATGTTGGATGAGTTCCTCATACTACCCATATCCTCTGCTTTTCTCTAGGCATGCTTCAGTGTTCCAGAAAACTAAGGTTTCCCCTCCCTCCCCATCCCCCCCATCATCCCCCTTGGGCTGAGAGCACTGTAGAAAATACTAGAGCATACCTAGGAGGCAAGCTCTAGAGCTTCTTCTTCCCTCCCTCATTTGACGTAACCCTATAACCATAAACTGGGGACAGGAAATGGGAGAAGCCGACTGAGGCTACAGGGGAAACAGATGTGAGAGTCGGGCCAGATAGCAATAACACGATTACCTGTTCTAGAAAACTGGCACTTGTGATGGCTTCCTCCATGTGCTCCTCATCGGATTTCAACACGGATTTAATGTTTTCTACAAGTTCATGGATGTCTGGGGTCATGCTGCAAGAAGACTGCTCCAAGAACCTTGCCACCAGGAGCTTGGTGTCTATGTAAGACCTATAATCGATGAGAGAGCGGGGCCTGCATCTCAGCGCTCTTGGTCTGCTGCTTCTCCTTAGCGTCACCAGGGCCAGGTCCAGTCTCCTTTCAGTCTGAGTGGCCGCTTCGCAGCTGAGCACCGGGGTGGCTGTGGACAGAGACAAACCATAGAACCCACTGGCTGAGCCCCTCTGGACAGAAGGCACAAACTCGGTGAAAGATGACCATGACCACACATGCTTTCCATCTTACAGAATGAAAAGGGGAAAAAAAATAAACAAAACGATAGCACAAGCCTACTTCCTGCAGTACATTGCCAACAGATTAAATCCCAAGACAGTAACCTACATCGCATAAAGCGCAGCCCCCAAGGTGCAGACAGATGGAAAAGTACAGAACTCAGAATACAAACCCTGGTGGAATATATGAGAATGGATGGACCAAACAAGAAAAAGAAAACATGGCCGACCAGTGGAAGATTGTGTCAATGGAGGAGGAGAGGAAGGACTATAGAGACATGTGATTTGGGGATGAATATAATGCTGTACCTTTGTCCTTAAATCCTCAAGGACATTGTACTGACTTCTATGAACGATGCTCACATCGTGGCCATGAGGTAGGTCTATGGCTGACTATTACAGAAAACAGGTGCGGAACAAAAATCACATCATTCCAGAAGGCAAGAGAGAGAGAGCCTGGGAAATCCATGGCAGGCTCTGATTTCCACGGTGACCTCCAGCAGCAAAACCCAGCTGGCTGCCGCCATTGCACCGTGAAGCAGTCTGGCTTCTGTGTGTCCATTCTTACCAGCACACTTCCATGTACGGACGCTAGGGAGTTAGGCCTGTGAGGTCTGATAAGTGGGCATTTACGAAGACAGGAAGCGCAGGGTGGGAGCGGGGAGAGGAAAGGGAGGCTCATTTTCCTGTGGTGAGTGATAGGCATGAAGAACTCTGAACCACAGTTAAGAGATTGTCCCAGACTGCCACGTGTATGTGACAGTCAGCAAGAGTCTTCCAGAAACATGTGCCAAACAACACTCCCCGGATAAGGACAGAATGGGCGGGGAGAGGGGCAGTCACACGCACTCACTGCCGGCAACCTGTGCCTTCCACCGGTGAAGCCAGTCAGTGGGTAAATGCATGTTGTTCTTGCCCCTGCGGGGCTGCAGAATGGAAAGGGTTTCCAGAAAGATCTCCCTCGGGTGTGCAGAAAGCTAAGCTCTCCTGGGAGGTGGCAGTTGGGCCCTCAAGTCCTCAGCTTGCCCGCGGGAATGGGAGACCCACAAGATGGAGATGCACCCCACGTCAGAGGCCCGGTGCCCAGCCTGAAGAGGAGCAGCAGTGCAGAGCTCAGGCCCCAGCTGGGAACATCCTCTGTGCTCAGAAGCCACTGCAGAGACCCGAGGAATGCGCTCTGTGGTTCTCACGTGGTTATTCCGACGGACACCACACATGGTTGGAGGGACAGAACAGAGCGGAAGGGCTCAGACAGGACTTGAGAGAGGCCAGGATATCCCAAAGCTTAAAATGCCCTCAAACCCAGAAGAGCAGACACCACAACTGCTAGATTCAGTCCCCTGGCATTAAGGCAACTTTTTAACTTTATTCCTTTGCTTCCTTTATTTTTCACAGTATTCTAGAATGAAGAGATATTGGGAGATATTCAGGTACTCATATACACAGAGGGGCAAATAAAAGACTCGCTAACTTACTCAAAAACCGTTAACGTACAGGCAAAACCCAAATTAAATGAAGAGGGAAGGAGAGAAAGTGCGTATGTGCATGTGTATGAGCATCGTGTTGGGAGTGTGTGTGTGTGAGTGGGTGTGTGCAAGTGTGTGTGTGCACTAGTGTATCTGAGCATGGTGCTGCATGCATGTGAGATTGTGGGTGTGCCCGTGTTACCTGGTGTTAGTATGAGTGTGTGTGAGGGTGCACACACATGAATATGCGTGTGTGAATGTGCATGTGTGTGCTTCATTCTACACCATTTTCTTAAAACCGGGTCTGATTTCTCAATAATTCCACCTACTCACACATTGTGAAAGGGATGGTAATAAGAAGTAAGTTGCAAAGCCAGTGATCACAAACACACTCCTTTTACCTCTTCCCACCGGCTACAAGCCACCAGAACTCAGACCTAGGGTCTATGTAATTTCCTTCCTGCAGCATCTCACACACTATCACGTGCATGCAACCCAATGCTCTTGAAGGCAATAAGGTAAAAAGAAGAAAAACCATCTGCCAGGCATAATAACTCAAGCCTATAATCCTAGCTACCTGGGAGGCAAAGATTGGGAGCTTATGGATCAAGGCCAGTGCCGGCATAGAAGTTCAAGATACATCATCTTATCTAATGACTGAGCATGGTGGAGCATACATATTATTCCAGCTACAGGGGAAGCACAATTCTAGGCACAATGGCACATGCTTGTGATCCCTCGCTACACAAGAAAACACAAGGAGGAGGATCACAGCCCAGCTGTCCGAGACATACAGCAAGACCATCTAAAAAAAAAAAATCACCAATGAAAGCATGATGCTAGTCGCTCACACCTGCAATCCTAGCTACTCAGGAGGCTGAGATTTAAGGATCGTGGTTCAAAGCCAGCCTGGCAGGAATATGAGACTCTTATCTCCAAGTAATCAGCATAAAGCTGAAGTAGAGCCATGGCTCAAGTGATAGAGGACCAGCTTTAAGCAAAAAAAAAAAACAAAAGCTAAAAAGACAGAGTAAAGGCCCTGAGTTCAAGCCTCAGTATCAGCACACACACACACACACACACACAAAGGAAAATAAATGGGTTGGACTCATGGCTCAAGTGGTATCGCACCTGCTCAGCATGCACAAGGCCCTTGGTCAATCTCTAGTACCTCAGGGGAAAATAGTAATTCTTCTGTCTTAAAGGGAATGGCAGCTGTGTATTCCTAATGTGCGTGTCAATTTTTATTCCCCAAAATAATCTCTTAGCCTCTTTCGGAATACCACTTCATCCTATAGGGCCCTCAGCTAGCTAGAGCCACCTGCTTTCCCATTCGACAAACAAGCACGGTGCTCAGCAGGGCACTGGGGAAGGGCATCACCTCTCTCCTCGCAGTGGTGGAGCACAGGATCACTCTTGGATCTTGTCCTGAGTGGCGGGAAAGCTCGGCAGCTCCTGGCTGGATGCACCAGGCTTGCGGGAGGACTCAAGACAGATGTGACTTCTTCACCGGCTGTGGGGGGAACAGCCCCACCTGATTTTTTTTTAAACAGGAGAAACATAAGTTATTATTATTTTTAAACAGCTGCAACCTTCCAAATGTTGGGCAGGAAACACCTGTGTATGCAAAGCTGCCAGGGCACAAAGAATGGAGTTAATAGCATTTACTTAGGCTGCTGGCCCCGAGTGTTTTTATTTCCCAGCACTGTGGGAAAACCTGCCTACCTTCAAACTACCCCCTTGTCTCCTCAAACAAACAAACAAACAGCCTCAAGGGCATAGTAAAACAGCTGTGCCAGAACATCAGGTTTTTCCTGAAGGTGCTTAGAACCTTCTCCCAAGCATCCTGAGACTGCACTGGGAAGGCCCTGGGCATTTCAGGGTTTCTGGATCTTTCTTTCTTGGAAGGAGCTACCTACTCCATAGGTGAAGGAGGCTCTCTGTGAGCAGAGAACCAGATTGGGAAACTCCCAGTTGGTCCCATTATGAACCTGAGGCCACTAAATGAATCATCTCAACCAATGTGGAAATTGGTTTCCAGATTTTCCCAGTCCAAGAAAGCAAAACCCAGCAGATGCCCGTGGCTCACATCTGGAATCCTAACAACTCAGGAGGCTGAGATCTGAGGATTATGGGTCAAAGCCAGCCTGGGCTGGAAAAATCTTTGAGACTCTTATCTCCCATTAACTGTGACTCAGTGGTATTACACTAGCCTTGAGCATAAAAGCTTAGGGATAGGACCCAGACCCGAACAAAGTTCAAGCCCCAGGACTGGCATTAAAAAAGGAAGGAAAGAAAAAATAGAAAGAATAGAAATGAAAGAAAAGGACAAGGAAGGAAGGAAGAAAGGAAGGAACGGAGGGAGGGAGGGAGGGAGGGGGAAGGAAGAAAGAGAGAGAGAGAGAAAGGAAAGAAAGAGAAAGAGAAAGAAAGATCCATCATTTGGAAGCTTGAATTGTGGCTTAGAAAACTCTCTGTTAACAGAAGAATTACAAACATAGTGAGGATAATTCAATATAGCTTCTGAATTTTACTTAAAGATATATAATGGGGCTGGAAGAATAGCTCAGTAATAGGCAAAAAAAAATATTTTTAAGATGGAAGGTGAACAGAACCCATTCGGAATGACTGCTGAAAAATTACCTCCATCTAAAATAGCTAAAAGTTGATCCATTATTTATTACCATTAGCAATTTTGTCCTAGTGCACAATTCTTTGGGCCACTTAAAATGTCCCCAAAGAGAGAAAGCTGTAACAATGATATCCTTAAATTACAAGGATAAACGTAAATCGACTTTGCATCTTACCAGATGCAAAAATATGACCAGCACTGAAAAATCAGAATTCCCTGGACATTCAGGCAGCAAGACTGGAGCCATAGGTTATAAATGACAGCATGATCCCACAGCAAACCACTCTTCATTAAATGAAAACTAACTCTTCTTCAAAGGACCCCAGTTTGTTTTAATCAGACAGAGAAAAACTATAGATTGGAAAACACAGGAATGACAAATTGGACTTTATTTCACAGGATCCTGAAAATAGTCTTGGTTATTCACAGAAGATTCTACTTCATGTTACTGATATGGTAATACCTCTCACTTTTCAGTGCTGGTCATATTTTTGCATCTGGTAAGAAGGATGTAGTTGAATGATTTGCTCCAAAAATATCTGACTTCAAACAGAACACCAGATGGGCCGTTGATTCTACCATGTTTCAATCTATTAAGTCATGGCTTTGGCCAGTGGAAATAAGTCGGGTACCTTGAGTGGTGTGTGTGTCTGCTGGTTCCAGTGGACTCACAGCAGCCTCGGATCCTTCTGGAATCTGGAATGAAGACCCCTGCATCACAGAAGATGGGTGGGGATAAAGAAGGCTGTTTTGTGATGGTCAACTTAATTGCTCTTGGGACCCCCATGAGCTTAAAATGATGTATGAGACACAACCTCCCTGGCTGGTCTCCAAGATGTACCATAGCTCCTGCCTGTGGTCAATGGATTAAAAGAGAAGCCTTGGGCCAGGCGCTCACACACCTATAATCCTAACTACTCAGGAGGCTGAGAGCTGAGGATCACGGTTCAAAGCCAGCCCCCGGGCAGGAAAGTTCACGAGACTCTTACCTCCGATTAACCACCAGAAAACTGGAAGTGGAGCAAAAGAGCTCAGGGACAGTGGCCAGGTCCTAAGTTCAAGCCCCATGACACAGAGAGAGTGTGGGGGGGAAGGGGGAAGGGGAGAGAGGAAAGAGAGAGGAAGGGAAAGAGGGAGGGAGACAGAGAAGAAGAGGGAGAGGGGGAGAGGGGGCTTTGACATACCTGTTCCTGGTCCATTTGGCTCACCACGGCTTCATAGGGAGGTGGGGGGTCCAGAGGACAGAACACTTCCACACCTTTGCTTCTAGCTCCATAGATGTGCGGCAGCGGAATGACGTCGGGACCCGCCATCCTAGACAGAGCATGCTGGCATGGGGAAGCAGGTCTGCACACGAGCCCTCAGGCTGCCCTGGACACACTACCTTAGCCTCTAGTCCAGGGAAACCGCTCAGCCCCACACACAACAGTTCAAGAGAGGGAGGCCAATCCAGGCTGCCCCCAACCACATGCCTCCTTACACAAGTGACAATGTATAAAACGTGACGCCGTCATTTTCATGTGTTTTCACTCTAATGGTACTAGGTTGAATCCAAGACTTCAGTCTTGCTAAGCAGGGCTCGATCACTTGAGTCACATGGCCAGCTCTTTGTCGCTCTAGTTATTTTTGAAATAGGGTCTCCGTGTTGACCCAGGTCTAGACCTTGATCTTGCTGTAGCTGGGATGGCAGGGATAAGCTACCACACTCAGCTTTTGAAATAGTTCTTGCAAACTCCTTGTTTTGTTTTGGGGTTTTGTCTTTGTTTTCATTGTTGTTGTTGTTGTTGTTGTCAAAGTGGGCTTGGAGCCACAGTCCTCCTGCTTACAGCCTCCCATATAGCTGGGTGACAAGAGTGTACCATCACACTTAGATATTGGTTGCCATGGGGTCTTGAGAATGTTTTGCCTTGACTGACCTCCAATTAAAATTCTTCCAGCCCCCACCTTATCAGGTAACTAGGATTGTATATGTGAACCACCAGTGCCTGGCTGTCATAAATACTAATGCTAATACTAATAACATGGTGCCAGTGCGTATAATCCTAGTTACTCAGGAGGTTGAAATCTGAGGATTGCAGTTGAAACCATGAAGAGTCTTTATCTCCAATCAACCATCAAAAAATCCAGGAGTGGAGCTGTGGCTCAAGTAGTAGAAGACCAGATTTAAGTGAAAAGGCTAAAGGATAGCACCAGGCCCTGAGTTCAAGGCCCATACTGGCATGTGTGTGTGCTTGCGTGCACACACATGCACACACACACACACACACACACACACACACACACATACACAGAGCAAACAGTAATCCATAGGGATGGAAAGCAGATGAAGATGGCTGGTATATGGAGGAAGCAAAGCATTTCTAAGACATTTCCGGGATGGTCTTGTGTGTGAACTGTACGCTGCAACTTCAAACGCCAATTAAAGCAACTAAGGACTCCAGGAAACTCGATCACCTAGTCCTTTAGCATGGCAGAGAGGAGGCGCAGGAATGGAGGGGGGAAGGGTGAGAAAATGCAGTCATTACATTTAATCCATACTATGTAAAAAAAAAAAAAATGGACTGCTAAACGTGTGGGTAGGGATGGGAGGGGGCAGCAGAGGGGAAGGGGCGACACCATCAAGAAGGTTGTATTCACCACCGGACGTATGGAACTGTAACCCCTTTAGACAACTACTTAATAAGAACAACAGCTTTTTAAAGGAGTGATTTTAGAACCCCCTGCCTGAGAGAATTGAGAAGTCAGTGTTTCTTCACGAGCATGACATAGGCCAAGAATACTTTGAAAGGACAACTAAAAACGGTAGCGCACAGCTGCTTTGGTGTGGCAGTGTCCCTGTTAGGAATTCAGGCAGAGGTGCAGGGGGGGGGAGGGAGAGGGGGACGGTGGGAGGCACCTCAGGCAGAGGTGCACCACAGCAGGAGGGGGTGGGGGGGAGGAGCCTCAGGCAGAGGTGCACCACAGCGGGGGGGGGAGCGAGGGGAGGAGCCTCAGGCAGAGCCCTCAGGCAGAGCCCTCACACATGCATCCGTGCTCCCCCCCCCAAGCCTGTAGGAGCAGGTCTTTCTCTTCCATTCTTCTGCCTCCTGAGCATGCACCTTGCCACCTCACCAGAGAACAATACTTTGTCATCTTGGAGCCAGAGACCAAAGCTAGCAATGCCTCTAGCCCGTAGCTGACCCAGCCTCCAGACCTCTAAGAAATAAATATCTATTCCTTATAAACAGCTCGGTCTAAAGTATTCTGCAATAGCAGCATGAAAGGACTAATAGTCCAAGCTTATACATACATATATATATATATATATATATATATATATATACACACACACATGTGCATATACATGTATGTACATACATGGTATACACACCTGTATAGCATATGTGTATGTGGTATGTACCTGTGCATATACCTGGTTATGTATGTGCATATATTCATACATGTGTGTACATGTCTACATGTGTGTAGTCATGTGTGCATATATGCATTTATATATACATATGTCTATATGTCTCTATATATTTATATATATAGACTAGACATACGTGTGTGTGTGTGTGTGTGTGTGTGTGTGTGTGTGTGTGCTCTGATAATGAGGCTTGAACTCAGGGCCTGCACACTATCTTTTTTTGTTTTTTTGGTTGGACGTGGGGCTTGAACTCAGGGCCTCGGTGCTGTCCCTAAGCTCTTTTGCTCAAGGCTAGAGCTCTACCACTTTGAGCCACCATACCACTTCTGGTTTTTGAGTGGTTAATTGGAGATAAGAGTCTCACAGGGACTTCTCTGCCCAGGCTGGCTTCAAATGTAAACCTCAGATCTCAGCTTCCTTAGATGCTAGGATTACAGGTATAAGCCACTGGCGCCCGCTATGTTAGCTTTTTGTGCTCAGTGCTGAGGCCACTTAGGCCAGAACTCTATTTCTGGCTTTCTGGTAGTTAGTAAAGATAAGAGTCTCACAGACTTCCTGCCCAGACTGGCTTGGAACTGTGATCCTCTGATCTCAGCCTTCTGAGTAGCCAGGATTATAGGCATGAGCCACTGGCACCCGAAGATCTTAGAAATATTTTTTGTTGCTTATCTCATAATAATCCTCCCAGGGGCCACATGACAACACAGCTGCAGGAGGAAATGGAGTCTCCGATATGGTAAGAAATCAATCCAAGGAGCCTTGAAGAGATTCCAGCAAACCTTCAATGGTTCATACTCATGAGCTTCAAGATGAAGTGGAAACACAAACAGAAATGCAAAGTGTGTTCTGCTTTGATGCTATAAATAGGCCTTGAAAACTCATCTGAGGGTAATGCTACAACTCATGTGCCTTTGACCAAAGAATGACCTCCCGCTGTCCACTGGACAGCCAGCCGCTCCTTATCACTGGGTCCATAGTGGCAGAATTGCTGCCTTTTTGATTTCTGGCTTGGGCCAATTTATGCGAATGCCTGGAGTTGGGGTGCACTCCTCCTCCTATATTCACAAATCAGTTCACAAAGAAGATAACCCTTCTTTGGACAAAAGCCCTGACTGCAATCAGACTTCTATTTATGACAGTAACTAGAGAAGGCCTTTCTCAAAAGGCTACCAGAGCACAAAGTGGTTGTATTTATAGAAGTTAAATAAACAGACCTCTTCTGAGAGCGTGCAATGCCTTACAGGAAACAGTCAACTTCTACAGCGTGAAAAGTCCCGTACAAAATATTCAGGCATATTCTTGCCTGTTTTATCATAGAAAGAATTACGAAGGAGGGCTGAACAATCCGGTCGATTAAGTTGATTGATTCAGCAAATGCAACCAAATTTAAAAAATATCATTAACAGCCTATGAATCTAAACAGGAAGACATTCAGCCACTTTAAAGTGGGAAAAAAATGGACTGCACTCTGAGCGTAGTAGAACTGCAGGAGAGCGGTATTTGCCCACTAGGGATTTAATATATAATTGGGTCACATCCACATGTTAGAATGCACAGTCTTCTTTCAACAAGAGCATTCTGCTTCAGCTTTCTCTTCCCACCTTCTTGGAAACATTCTGCATGGCAAAGATATTGGAAATCTTGTGGGTTTTCTCACCACCCAGTTTTCATGAGGGGCAATCTCAGGGCTCAGGGGGACAGGTCCTCAAAGGGTAGAAATCCCCACGTTGACAGGCCATGTCCTTCTGGAGCAGGGGAGGAGGCAGAGACTACAGGACCCGTGGCTGGACAGCAGAATCCTGCATCCACATGAGTCACTCTCCCTAATTTATGCCACTGCAGGAAATTGAATCTGTCTGCTGCCTCCTCTTAGTTCAACCCAGTGCTCACCCACAACCTTGGAGAGCCAGCACTCTTCATGAAGAGGGCAATTCTCTTTCCAGCCATGAAATAAAGTCATTTGAATGTCCTCCAACGTACCCTCCACAGTCAAGGGAGATGGTGTTTCAGCTTTAGCACATGTGCACCAGGGAACACAAAGAATATGTATCTTGTTGCTGTAACTCCTCAGCATCTGTAATTCTTGGCTCATTTCCCAACAGGCTAGGAAATCATCCTAGCCTCTAATGTTTGAAATGCCAGTAGACTGTTCCCTGACCAATGCGGGGCTGAGCTGTCCCAAAGCCTGCCTGGGGCCATCTGTCCCTCACATGACGCTCCACTCTGCCTTCCTGATCCTATCTGCCTCTGTCTCAGCAGGTGGAGAGGGAAAGGCAGGGAGACGGTTCCGTTGCAAACTCAAAGCACATTAACCATATCTGGGATTTGCCTCATTCGGTCACACACAGTTGGACATTAGAAAATGTTTTCCCCCAACCCCAAACCTGCCACCAAATTTGTTTGATAATGCCACACATACTATAGATCTTCCAAAATACAAACAGCCTCAGAATATAAAGCTAAAGTCTCCAATCTTTCTATGGAATCAGGGATGATAGGGAGGGGAGGGTATTTAGATACAGGCTTGTTATCTTTTGGCATGAGTTTTTTTTTCTTTTAATCTTTTTTTCTGGTCTTTTTGCCTTTCTTTCTCTTTCTTTCTTTCTTTCTTTCTTTCTTTCTTTCTTTCTTTCTTTCTTTCTTTCTTTCTTTCTTTCTTTCTTTCTTTTGTAGAACTGAGAACAGAATTCAGGACTTTGTACTTGCCAGGCAACTGTTCTACTGAGCTAAATCCCCAACCTATTATCTTTAAAAAAAAAAATTTAGGGCTGGGCACCAGTGGCTCACACCTGTAATCCTAGCTAATCAGGAGGCTGAGATCTGAGGGTCGCAGTTCAAAGCCAGTACAGGCAGGAAAGTCTGTGAGACTCCTAACTCCAATTAACCACCAGAAAACCAGAAGTGGTGCTGTGGTTCAAGTGGTAGAGCGCTAGCCTTATGCTAAAGAGCTCCAGGACAGCACTCAGGCCCAGAGTTCAAGCCCCATAACCAACAACAACAACCAAAAAATTAAATTATTATAAAGTTGATATGCAAAGAGGTTACTGTTTCATAAGTCAAGCAGTTAGTACATTCCTTTTTGGACAATGTCACTCTTTCCTTGGTTTTGTCCCGTTTTTTCTCTCTTGTCCCCACCCACATGTCGTAGAGTTCATTTTTAACATAGTTTCCTGAAGTCTATTTCAATAAATATTATTTTATATGATGAGAGGGACAAAAGCATTGCACCTTTGTGTTCCTCTTCTAAGAGTATCCTTCTTTGGGCTCACTGTGTGAGAATGTTCATCTTTTAATGTCCATAGTCTTCAGGTTACTTTCCCAGGGAGCCATCCTGACTGGCAGCCCTACCCCAAACCCCTCTTTGGAGAACTATTACATCCACCGAACACTCATTTTAATAAGCTCCACTGAGCCCCTGGGTTGGAGGGGAGAAAGTATTTCCACTTCGTTTTGAATTTTAATAACCCAGCAATAGTGAGAAGCAGCCTGGGAGACAGCCTATGTGTGTTAAATGAGTCAGTCAGGTCATTCTTGAAAGAGACTCAATTCTAGAGTCCCTAACAAACACACGTGTGGCCTTTCCTTCTACAAAGAGCAAGGCCTAAGATCTGAGAAACAGTCACATGTTGAGCAAGAATTTGAAAAGAACAATCAATGTGATGACTAGTTCTTCTAAACCAGGGAGCTGTAATGAATAATTAATATTTCTTAACGGCTGGGAAGAATTTCATGATTGCTGGTGTTAGAATGACACATCCATTTGACCTAACTGGGGACTGTTTCCAGGACAACGGCAACTCTCAATCATGTCAAATTACAGCCAGCCCTTATCTCCCGGGGTATCTGCTTTCCCTGGAAAAGCTCATTGAGATTGAAAAGGAATATCTTTAGGTCAGCATTTGACTTCTCTGGGGATTCCTCTGGCTTAGCAGACAAGAAAGAGAGACATGGAGAGAGAGGGAGAGACAAGGAGAGAAAGAAATGGAACAAACTGAAACCCTGATGTGTGTGTTTGGGAAGGGGGGGGGAGGAACCAATCTGCTTAGATTTCAGAAACAAGTGAGCGCTCAGAATGTGAAGACCCTCCCCAGCTCAGTGTCTGACCGAGAAGGCAAGCGAGGGAACGCTACCTGCGGCTCATCCGGGGCGTACACGAGTAAAATGTGGCAAAGTAAGAAGGAGGAGGCACAGGTGGTATGAAGTCATCAGGGTCAGGAATCCGGCCATGATCTTCCACTTCTTCGGCAGAAATCTGGGACTCGTCCTGCTTAGACATCACAGCCAGTTAGCCAATGGCCTTTCCCCACGAAGCACGAAAGGAAAGGGCCCTGGATGACCCACCAGAGCCAACGCAGACTTACGATGCAGGACCTTCTGGTGGTGAATATCTGCAGGTAGCGGAGGGCGGCGGCCACCAGACACACGGTGGTGGTGAGCGCGTTCAAGGCACACAACGCAAAGAGGACTTTCTGAAACACACAAGCCAGGACGGATGCTGATGGTTATATTTCGGTGCAAAAGACCACGAGGCCATGTTAAACGGGTTTGAAATCATGTCAACACCCTTCCCATGAGAGCAGCCTTGCAACAAGACTCAAGCCAGGGGATCTAGACCGAGGCTGGTGCATGGAAATCACTGGAATCCACGCTGGCTGTTACGGTGCTCTTTGGGCAACAACAGGAACTTCTTGATTTTTTAAAAAATTTATTCTCTTTAAGTAGTTGTACAAAGGAGGTGCCACTGAACAAAACAGTCCCTGCATACAATGTATCTTGATCAGTGACATCCTCTTCCACATGCTCAGTTCTGAGTCGTTCTTTAATAAGGGACTTGGGCGTGACAGATTTTGTGGCATCTTTAAGCTAAATCCCCAGGGAAAGTGAAGGAAATAACGGCATTTCTTCCTCCCTCCCGCCCCCCAGCATCAGAATACTATCTAGAAACCATCTTTGCAGAATAGTGAGGGTCTCCTCTGAAGTCTGTAATCCCCAGGGGCAAGAGTTCCCAGTCTCCCTGCAGAACAGCACACGGGGTAATTTATGATTCTATTTCTGGAGCAACGCTCAGTGTCTCCCCAGGGACCCAATGAGGACGCAGCAGGGGGCCAGGGCAGCTGGATATAATCAGGACATCTCTCCTCAAACACGAATCCCAAAATAGCAGCCCCGGCGATTCCAAAAGCAGCCCCAGCTCTAGGGCAAGCTCCTTAGCAGGGTTTTCCCCAAACTACATCCTGGCTCAGCAAGTTTGCCGAAGCCAAAGAAAGCAGGCCATTTCTCTGCAGGACCTCACCCAGAGCTGGCAGATTTCAACAGTTCTGTCTCTTTGGATTCCTCCTCTCCTATAGCAAATGAATACATAAACCCCAAAACAAAGATCTAAAGAAAGCTACTAGATACCGGGCCTATGGACATGGCTTCAGTAATTAATGCCTAGCAAAGTGCCAGGTCCTAAGTTCAAATACCAATAAAAAAGAAAAAATATTAGTGGTGCACTATACAAAAGCCACTGTGTCAGGGTTTGCAACTGATTTTGTCACTCACTTTATATCATATATATATATATATATATATATATACATATACATACATACACACACATATATGTCATATATATATATAGATATCACTCACTTTATATCCCTTTGATCCAGATACAATTTTTACCTAATTCCCAAGTCAGTAGGGTTTATTTTTACATTTCCTTTCAACTGGGATCATTTCTTTGTTTTTCAATTTGTCTTGCTTATTATAGTTGCTATCTATTAAACCAAACATAAAAGGCTAGAACTGCTTCTGTACTTTCTGCCCTCTCTCTCTCCTTAGTTTGTCACAACTGCAGCACTCAAATGGCCATACAACTCACTCACACTACAAATGATCATCAGAACAAAGGTATGTAGGCATACCATTGAATGGCTCTGTTAAAAGCTACAGCAAGGGCTGGGAATGTGGCTTAGTGACAGAGTGCTTGCCTAGCTTGCATGAAGCCCTTGCTTCGATTCCTCAATATCACATAAACAGAAAGTGCTGCAAGGAACACTGTGGCTCAAGTGGTAGAATGCTAGCCTTGAGCACAGAGAGTCTCAGAGACAGTGTCCAGGCCCTGAATTCAAGCCAAGAAAGAAAGAAAGAGAGAGAGGAAGGAAGGAAGGAAGGAAGGAAGGAAGGAAGGAAGGAAGGAAGGAAGGGAGGAAGGAAAGGAAGGAAGGAAGGAAGGAAGGAAGGGAGGAAGGGAGGGAGGGAGGGAAAAGGAGAGAGAAAGAAAGGAGAGAGAAAGAGAAAAAGGGAGGAAGAAAGAGGGAGGGAGGGAAGGAAGGAGGGAAGGAAGGAAGGAAGGAAGGAAGGAAGGAAGGAAGGAAGGAAGGAAAGAGCTATAGCAAGCAAGCTAGTGGCTCATACCAGTAATCATAGTTACTCAGGAGGCTGAAATCTGACAACCACAGTTCAAAATCAGCCCAGGCCAGAGAGACTTGTATCTCCAATAAACTGTGAAAAAGCTAGAAGTAAAGTTGTGGCTCAAGTGGCAGAGTGCTAGCCTTGAGCCAGAAAAGCTTAGGGACAGTGCTCAAGCCTGAGTTCAAACCCCAGGATGGGCATGTGCACACACACACACACACACACACACACACACACACACACACACACACAGCTGTAACAAGTATAATGTGCATTCATATATACATGTTATATATGTATAGGCTCATTTCCATTTTTTACTAGCTTATAAGACTTGAACACAAAGAACATAATTTATAACACACCCAATAATGTGTGGTTCTTTCCCACTCTGTCTCTGGGTCCCTAATGAGGTGTCACTCACATCTGCTTTCAGAAGCTTAATTACTTGAATGCAGTAACAGACTAGGAGTATTTCCAATAGCTGCCTTTTGAGGGAGGTCAGTGGCGAATTTCCTGCTAAGAGTTGGAAGCCATTTGACATACCTTAAGCAGAAGGTGAACAGCACTACAAGGTTGAACGGGAAAGAGTTTCAAGGAGTTCTCTTTGTCTGTGCATTTGGCTGGTTGAAATTCTTCACAACAGAAGCAAATCTTGCCTTCACCTAGGTCCACCTTAAGTGGAGAGATGCATGCCGATGAGTTAATTTTTAGGGAGGGAAACAGCATTCTTGATGCATCACAGAGCAGCAATGGTGCAGAATGAGATATGGCGGGGTTCCATATCTGCAACACCTGTATCTGTCAGAACAGGTTAAGAATGCACAGTAACAAGCAAAATGAAAATTCTAGTGGCTTAACCAACTCGAGTTATTTCCTATGCATGCTTCAACTCCACAGCGGGTCATCAGAGAGCGCTGCCTGCCGTACGCCCCTGGGGACCCAGTTTTAGGACACCTTCTCCATCTCGACACGTGTCACGATCACATGCCAGAGCGGTAAACAGCAAGGGCACGCTGGCACGTAAAGCAGATAAAACAGACCATGTCCAATTAAGTGTGAATTGGGATAAGCAACAGAACACGTGTAAAGATACATTCGCTTCAAACATCGCATAAGGCATGTTGGTCGTTTAAGGAAAACAAAGTCATTCGCAGTTTCTCTGCAATGCACATTTAATTGGGTATCCTATTATTTTACTTGTTAAGTCTGGCATCCTTGGCCTAAATTCTCCTCTTGCAAATGACTCATCTCTTTAGCTCATGATTTTTTTGGGGGGGGCGACAGGGGGTCGGCTGTGGGGCTTGAACTCTCAGGACTTCTGTGCCAAAGACAATCACATGGCTCCAGCATCTGGACCTTATCATCTCGAGAGAAAGTAGGCTTCATGCCTCTCCATCCATCTTGCCTCTAGCTCCTGCCCCTCACTCTCGACTCTCACGTTGTGAAGATGAGTTTTGCCTCTTCTAGAGCTCTATAGATTCCACAGCATCTTTTTACTCTTCATCTTGAAGTCACACTCAAAGGGCTGCACATAGAAATTCTGCCTCGGGGACATCAAATGACAGGTAGAGCCACCTTCAGGGCTCCTCAATGTCTATCAGTTCACCCTCACGTCTCTTGATCCTGGTTTGTTCCGTAACCCCCGCAATAGGCTGTTGGTCATGGAATCTTTCCACCATGGTTTCGTGTATTTGAAGATTCAGCCTGCTGCTAATCTTGACACCAGCCAGTCCTGGGACTATTCCAACCGGCTCTATCTAGACAGATCTAGGCAGAGGGAACCCTTCCCTGGGCTCAGCATCACTGGCTTCCCTTTGGTCCTCTTCCACAGTACCTATAACAGCTGTGCGTACATTGGGCTGAACTCAGCAGGACCCTAGGAAAGGCTTCCTGCTTTAATACCTCCAGCTGAGCCGTTCCTGTGTTCCTTCTGACAACACTATTTGGCACCTGACATACCAGCCTCTCCTTTTTGTTTTGTTTTGGCTGGTTACAGGGCTTGAACTCAGGACCTAGGTATGCTGTCCCTGAGTCTTTTTTGCTCAAGGCTAGCGCTCTACCACTTTGCTCCACAGCACCACTTCAGGTTTTCTGGTGGTTAATTGGAGATAAGAGTTCTCACAGACTTTCCTGCCTGGGCTGGCCTCGAATCACAATCCTCAGATCTCAGCCTCCTGAACATCTAGGATTACAGGCGTGACACCAGGCTAAGCTCACTTTTCAACAAAGGCCCCCAGTGTTTGTTTTTGTGATCCGTGGGGAACACCGCTAGAGCTCACCAGAGGCCTCTACTTCCCTCAGGTAATTCTAGGTGTCACCTTCCCACACAAGCCATTCTTGCCACCATATGCTTAGTGCAAAGAGATCACCAGCTGCTGTGGACTGTACACAAGCCCAGCACGACATTCAAGACCCCAGAAACGTCTGCTATGTGGAATCTTTTTTTTTTGGTTCCGGTCGTGGATCCTGAACTCTGGGCCTGGGTGCTGTCCCTCAGCTCTTCAGCTCAAGACTAGCGCTCTACCACTAGAGCCACAGCGCCACTTCCGGCTTTTTTCTTTTTGCTTATGTGGTGCTGAGGAATTGAACCCAGGGCCTTGAGCATGCAAGGCAAGCGCTCTACCACTGAGCCACCTTCCCAGCCCCTGCTGTGTGGAATCTTCAAGCTGAGCCAGCACTGCCAGCAACACGTCCCAGGTGAATGAAAGCTAATCCCTTTAGACGAGATTATTTGACAGTTTAATCATTATACAAAGGATCTGGAATGCCAAATACTGGGCGCACTCGATACAAGGAAGCCCCGAGGCTCTTTGCAAAAGGACTGTAGGTGAAAGTGTGCTTGTGTTCCTGTCCCTCTGGGCCCGCACCTGCTCCTGGCCAGTCCAAACCCCTTCACCCCCACTTGAAATCCCCTCTCCGAGCAACATTCCCAAGCATTACTATCTTCAGTCCCTTGAAGTGATTCTCGAACCCCAAAAGATAACCATCCACCTCTCCACATCCATACTATCACCAGATGCCGTCACATCCTCATCTTCCTCCCGCCATGCCGCGCCACTATGGGTTTCGACCCTAGCTGCACTTTAGAATGTTCCAGAGGGCTTTGGGAAAACGCACTAAAGTTGCCAGTGCCACCTTTAGCCATTGGGGAAACTTCAAGCTAAGTACAACGACTATGAGCTGTCACTTTAGCTCATGAGACTGGCTATACACTCTCCCTCTCTCCCCTCTGCTGGCGAAGAGAGCTGATAGAAATATGAGCTGAAACCCTTTAATAAAGGAACCAGCTGGCCATTTTAAATCGCTGGGAGTATGAGCTAATGCAGAGCAAAGGCGGGATGGGGGATGGGAGCCAGTCACACAGCCCTGAAGGGTTTTTAAAAACCACATGGGTGCTGGTGGCTCACACCTGTAATCCTAGCTACTCAGGACACGGAGACATGAGGATTGAAGTTTGAACCCATTTGGGGGCAGGAAATTCTGTGAGACTCTTATCTCCGATAACTTACCAAAAATGCCAGAAGTGAAGCTGTGGCTCAAGTAGTAAAGTGCTAACCTCGAGCAAAAGAAGCTCAGGGACAACACGTAGGCCCTGAGTTCAAGCCCCAGTCCCAGAAAGAAAACAGAAACAATAACCCACACAACTGCTCTGTGATCTCACAGCTTACGGGTTAGGAAGCAATAGAATGACATTGTTTTTTAACGTGAAGAATTATGAGAAAGAATAAAAGGTTATAGTGAGTCCCTCGCATTTTTCTGCTTGGAAAAGTCATGGGTGGTATTGGAAGGGTTTGACCTTTGCTAGAAAACAAAGCAGTCTTATTGGCTCTCCTTCTGCTGGCTTTAATAGGGTGAGATTACTGTGGACGAAATTCCAGATAGAGGAGAATGAAAACAACTTCTGGACTCCATTCCTTTCGCTGCATCCTAAGGGAGATGTTTGTTACTAAGAAGTTCTTTTGTAAAAGTTCAGCTCTCACTAACGATTCCACGTCTACGTATTAGAACCCAAAGAACTGACAGCAGGACCAAGAAGAGACATTTGTCCACTCAAGCTCGAAGCAGCTTTGTACACAATAGACAGAATGTGGGAACAGCCCCAAGGCCCATCCTCAGATGAATGGATAAACAAAATATGTCATGCTGACAAACAATGGAGTATTATCCAGCCTTTAAAATGAAGGAGATTCTGACACAGCTACAACACGCACACACCTGGAGGACATTATACTAAGTGAAGTAAGTCACTCACAGGAAGGTAAACACTATCTGATTCCAGTTATGGGAGGTACATAAAAGTATCTGAATTCTGTAATTCTAGCTACTCAGGAGGCTGAGATCTGAGGATCATGGTTCAAAGCCAGCCTGGGCAGGAAAGTCCATGAGACTCTTATCTCCAATAAACCACCAGAAAACCAGAAGTGGCGCTGTGGCTCAAGTGGTAGAGCACTTGCCTTGAACTGAAGAGCTGAGGGACAGCACCCAGGCCCAGAGTTCAAGCCCCACAACCGACAAAAAAAAAAAAAAAGGTATCTGAATTCATATCAATGGAAAGTGGAATGCTAGTTGCTGGGGATTGCTGGGCACAGGGAGATGAGGAACTATTGCTAAATGTTGTTCCTGTTTTATGAAATGAAGAGTTCTGAAGACTGTTTCCATAACCATCTGAATGAACGTATCTGCTCTGAAGTATACACGCAAAAGGGTGAGGATGGTCAATTTACATGCATTTTGCCATAAGTTAATTTTGATTTTTGATAGTACTGGGCCTCATTTTTTTTTTATCTTAGAGAAGCTACAGGTCTACAACATCATATCCACAGTTCTGACAACCAAAAGTCTTGATTATAGTGTTGTATCCCAGACTCCACTGACACACTGTGTAATGAATGGAATAAACACCATACTTATCTTCCAAGGTCAGAAAATCTCCAGACGCTGACATACAACTGGCTTCCTTAGGTTTCGTTATGTATTTAGTCAGTCTTGGGACTTGAACTCAGGGCCTAAGTGCTATCTCTGAGCCCTTTCATTTAAGGCTAGTCCTCTACCATGTTGAGCCATAGCTCCACTTCCAGGTTTCTGGTGGTTAACTGAAAATACAAGTCTCATGGACTCTTCCTGTCCAGGCTAGCTTTGAACAGTGATCCTCAGATCTCAGCCTACAGAGTGGCTAGGATTATAGGCATGAGCCACCAGGGCCTGGCTTTTCCTTAGGTAAAAGAGGTTGGCCTGAATTCTGGTAACATTCTTTTCTTTTGTCTTCAGGTAGACAGATTGACCGTGGAGACACGACCCATCTACTCATTCAGTCACTGACCAGAGTGGCTCTGGGTTCTGGGGGAGCCACACTCCCTCACAATCAAGTGAAAAAGCCTCAGAAAACAGCTCTCAGCTTTGTTTTCCTACCTCCTTTTATCCACTTCAAGACACTGTGGGACAGCTGGAGGTGCCACAAATGGATGTCACAAGGAACGCAGCCAAGCCTGGCTCCAATCCCAGGCCTAATGATGTTTAGGGCTGCTTACCAGATCACACCTGGGTACGCTGGACACAAACTGTGCCCCTTGACATCCCAGGATGAATCCCGCGAGATTTAGCAGGACGCAGACCACAGAGAGTAACACGAAGAGGTTTACCTAAAACGACAGGAGGAAGGGCAATTAGAAAAGGCAACACGGGTGGTCCCAGGTGAACAGAAGAAACCTGATGTCTTCTCTAGGAGAAGACTCTGGGGAATGCATCCGAGCAGGTGCAGTAGTGACAATTCTCAGGCTGGGATCCTCGGTGCCCATGGACTTAAGCCGCACACAACGTGTGTCACCTCTCACAACTACGGCTACGCCAAAGCATTGTGGAAAAGGAGGCTGCAGGACTAGAAAAGAACAGAGCATTAACCTTCCTTCCTCACACGGGCTTCCACCACACACTGGCAGATGGCATCTGAAAAGACGTCACACAGGTCTGGAACCTTCACACCCAACCACACACACAGTCAGTGCTACAATGGGAAGTCTTGAACTATGGTGATTTTCTTTTAATCCACTAAAATATGCCTGGGAAAAAAAATGTTGTGATGGCCCTGTGTATCTACCAAAACAACACTTAATCTTGAAAAAAAAAAACCATATAACATGGGGTCCATTTGCTCCCTCCATTGGACCCCTGAATCTTTTCACTAAAATCTTAAATCAGCCCAGCAAAAGACATGATTCATCACATCAGTAGGCTTGCCACAGACTAGGAGAAAATATTTTCTTGCATATATCGAACCAAGAAACTATATTCAAATAATTCCTCACCTTATGATGAATTAATAATAATAAAAATAAAGCCATATGAAAAGGTACTCAACACAATTCATCATCATGAATACAAAGTAAAGCCATAGTGAGCTACTATTTCATACCAACTAGAACGATTAAAATTTAAAAGCTGATAGTAGCAAATGTTGATGAGAAGGAGGTACACTTAGACTTTTAGACACTTTCATGTGGGTAGAAAATAGTATGATTGAGCCGGGCATACTGGTGGCTCATGCCTGTAATCCTAGGTTCTCAGGAGGCTGAGGTCTGAGGATCATGGTTTCAAGCCAGCCCAGGCAGGAAAGTCTGTGAGACTCTAAATCTCCAATTAACCACCATAAAACTGAAAGTGGCACCATGGCTCAAAGTGGTAGAGTACTAGCCTTGAGCAGAAAAACACTCAGGGACAGCACCCAGGCCCTGAGTTCAAGCCCCACAACTGACGAAAAAGAAAATGGTATGATCAATGTTAAGAAACCATCAGTTGCTTTAAAAATTAAATATAAACCTTATCTGCAGGAATATTCCATGTCATTTATGGAGCTACTTAATTTTCACTTCCCTACTCCTTCAATGAGAGCTGCACACCGTGACTTCCTTCCAAAAGACCATGCAGAAGGGACAGAAGTAACTTTCCAGGGGATAAACCTGACAAACACAACATCCACAAGATGACAGAGGTCAGAGTCAGCGCTCAGCCGTGTCAATAGCACATGTCTGTGCTGACAGGGCTTGGGAATTGCACTTTACCTCTGTGGTCTCCCTACTCGGAACCCACAATAACAGTCTAATGCTCCATGGGGAAAGTTTAATGAAATGCCAGGTGCAACGCATCATCCCAAACACCCAACGAACGCTCCTCAAATCTGTTAAGTCATCAAAAAACAAGAGAAGTCTGAGAAACCACCACTACAGTTCAGAGAAGCATAAGCAGACCTGTCAGCTAAATGTAATGAGGCATCCTGGATGGACCGGTCAGTGGACAGAAAAGAGACACTAAGTAAGAAGTAGCTAGCAATAAGGTGTCCAATATGTGATGCACTACCATTCACTTGTAAGGTCTGAATGACAGGAGAAACTCAGTGCGGATGGAAGATTTCCATGCAGATGGAGTATATGGGAATTTCATGCTCTAGTCTTGTGGTTTTGTTACATATATGTGTGTATGCTATTCTAAAATGAAAACATGTATTTTAAATGTAATAAAGTGATTATATAATGTAGCATATTTAAACAATAGAATATGTCCATCCATTAAAAAGGAGCAAACTATGAATGCAAAAACAACAGTACAAAATTCAGGAACACGACATTGAGCAAAAGAAAGCAGATGCTGTGTATTTCCCCTTGCTTCAAGTTCGTGGATAGATGCGATCATCTGTGGAGACAGAAATCAAAATAGTGATTGCTTGGGTGGGGACGTGGAGGGAAGATGTTAACTGGGAAAAGAAAGCAGGGAATTTTCAAAAGGGAAAATATTCCACATCCGATCTTGCATGGTGGTTCCATGCACGATTCCGGTTTTCAAAACTGTGCTAACAGAAAGCTGGGTACAATGCAGCACCCCTGGAACCTCAGCATTCAGAAGGCTGAGAGTCAGGAAGATCCCAAGTTGAAGGCCAACCTGGGCTACAAAGAGAGGCCCTGTCTCAAAACCTCCAAACAACCAGAAAAAGAAAAAAGAAAAAAAATCTAAACTACAATCTGGGATTTCCCTACATTCAAGTTATACTTACTGACCATAATTGTAACACAAAGAGAGGAGGAACCTTGAATCTAACTGCCAAAGCAGAAATATGAGATCAAACAGAAAACTGAGGCTATTCTAAAATGCCTGAGCAACAAACAAAATGAAAGAATGTCTTGGGCATTCCCCCCACCCCACCCCAGAGGGGCTGTCCACAAGTCAGTCAGTCTGTCCTACATTAGATCTGTGCAAACTTCACAGGGATGATGTGGATCGGAACACACAGACTTCAAAATTACCGTGCATTTTTCCTCAGAATATGCTTCCATGTGACCTTATAGTTATTAAAACTCTGGCCTAGCCGGGTGCCAGTGGCTCTCGCCTGTAATCCTAGCTACTCAGGAGGCTGAGATCTGAGGATCATGGCTCAAAGCCAGCAGGAAAGTCTGTGAGACTCTTCTCTCCAATAAATCACCAGAAAACCGGAAGTGGCGCTGTGGCTCAAGTGGTAGAGCGCTCGCCTTGAGCTGAAGAGCTGAGGGACAGCACCCAGGCCCAGAGTTCAAGCCCCACGACTGGTCAAAAACAAACAAAAAAAACCTCTGGCCAAATGCTCAGGCAAATATATGACCTTATTGTTATTATTAAAACTCTGAGAGAGGTAGAAGAATGAACCAGGGAAATGAGTAGAATGTAGGCAAGAATGTATTGTATATTATGCCACAGAATTGAGGAAAACTAGGAAAGGAGTAGATGGAAAGGGGATGTGGAGGGATGTACATAAATTGCTCTATTAAATGGCAAAAAAAAATACGTAACCTAAAAATTAAGAAAAGTGAGGGAAGTGGGGCGAGAGGGGTGGATGTGAATACTGAAAGATCAAGAGGCACTATAGTCGAACTCTGGTTAAACCTCAGTCAAACTGAGGCATCTATCAAACACACAGCCTTTGAGATCACCCAGTTCAGAGCCTGGATCGAGCCCCAGTGTAGCAAGTATTGGAGTTACAAAGGGCATACATAAGGTTGTAGGACTTGCTTTACTTATCTGTCAAATGGGTATATTTTCCTAACCTACCTCCAAAGATTACTGTGATAACAGCACCCCATATTCTTAACTTCAAAGGTCTACATATACACACTTTATTATTAAGAGTAACAGACCTAGCCAGGCGCCAATGGCTCACGCCTGTCATCCTAGCTACTCAGGAGGCTGAGATCTAAGGATCACAGTTCAAAGCCAGCCCAGGCAAGGAAAGTCTGTGAGATTCTTATCTCCAATAAACCACTAGAAAACCGGAAGTGGCGCTGTGGCTCAAGCAGTAGAGCACTCACCTTGAGCTGAAAAGAGCAGGGACAGCGCCCAGGCCCAGAGTTCAAGCCCCACAACCGACCAAAAAAAAAAAAAAGAGTAAAGACATATCTACTTTATCTACTTACAGGTGAAGCTTGTATTATTACAAAGGGTGTTTCACAAAATGATTTTTCAGTAAGACTGGTACCCGTGTTTCAGTCTTTTGCGTATGAGACGCTTCAATTGAAGTCATCTGGAAAGGATAGTCAAATCCTAAGAATACTCTATAGATGTATTGATTGTGAAACTTCTCCAAAGACATTACATCACTCACCTCCTTCTGCCAAATGCAAGAAGCCAGTCACAAAGAATCACCTTTATTTGAATGACCAGAATAGCTAAGTCTAGGGCCAAGGTTATTGGAGGGAGATGGAGAGTGACATGTAGTGATTAGAAGGTTCCCTTTGGAGGGGTGATGTACAATTGATGCTAGTGGCATTTGTACACATCTATGAATTCACTCACACCCACTGAACTGTACGCAAGTGCATTAATATAGATAGATAGATAGATAGATAGATCTATGACATCTTAACAAAGCTATATTTTAAAAAGCAGCAAGATAACGTATGAGATTAAACATTTTCTCTTGCCCACAAAGATAAAAAAAAAGGTCATTCAGAATCCATAGAAAAATTTCAATATAAATATAATCATATAAATAATATAAATATATTATATAAATATATTATAGATATTGTTTATTATAAATATTTATTATTTATTATAAATATTATATATATTATAAATATTATATAAATATATTATAGATATTGTTTATTATAAATATTTATTATTTATTATAAATATTATATATATTATAAATATTATATAAATATATTATAAATATAAATAATAAAGACTAGAATACACTTGATTTGCTGATCAACACAGTCCTCCTTTGAGTGACATGAGATTCCATTTTCTCCTCACCCTCATTCCTCCGCCTGGTGCCCCAGTAGGAAGCTGTGGCTCCACCCTACACAAGAGGCACTTGGGTTCTTTTGTTCTTTGTTCTTTTCTCTACCATTTTGTTCAAGGCTGCTTTGTAGCCTCAGATGTTTCTGCTTTTCCTAGACACTACTTTAGGCCAGGCCCTTGATGTATCTGTTTATTTTAAGCTATAGAAGGGGACAAGTCCTATCATAACGAAATCAGTAAAGAAAACGTCCAGATCTGTATCTTTGTGAAAACTTGGGACTTAATTGAATTCAGCTTCTCTCCCTGCCACCAGCATCTCACAGTAGCAGCAAGCAGGCCTGCAGTAGGAAGGGTGAGGTAGCAGCTGCAATCT